TAACGAATTAAAAAAAAAAAATCATAAATTATATTATATTATATAATCAACAAATTATTTTACCAATTCTTTTTCTTAAATTACGACATTTTCGTGGAGACGTATTTCAATTGCAGCCTAAACGAACTGACGATCGTAACATGATTAATTCACAGGTGGACACCTTCGAGTACAGACTGTTGCGGGAAACAGAGTTTCGAGAGTCGATTACTCGCCGTTTCGTGGGCGAATCCGACGTGCAGATTTCGACGGTGGTAGATCGTAACCTGGGACCGGTTGCACCTCCGCAAATCACGCAGAAGCCCAGAAACTCGAAGCTCGTCGAGGGATCGGACGCCGTTTTCACTGCGAAAATCTCCGGCAACCCGAAACCAAGAGTAAGCGAACGATTTTTTAATTATTCCCCGAAAAATGAAGATCTTCTTTCCAACCAAATAAAAATAAATCGGCTGAGAAGAAAAGTTAATTAGACAAAGGAATAGAAAATATTCATGTTAAGTTATATTATTACTCGAAGAAAGGACCTGATTTTCTAAAGAAATTCGCTTTCTATTCCAGTTAACTTGGTTCAAAAACGGCCAGAGGATCCGCGAATCACAACGCGTGGAGATGAGCTACTCGAACCAACAAGCCTCCTTAAGGATCAGAGTCGCTTTGCCGGAAGACAGCGGCCATTACACTTTGCTATCCGAGAATCCTCAGGGTTGCACCGTCAGCTCTGCGTATCTGGCGATCGAATCCAGCGATCAAGTCGATCAAGCTTACCAATCTCAAAGAGAAACGGTGAAAACTCAGCAAGTCGAATCGACCGGCGAATCTGACTCTGGAAAAGTTCTGCCACCGAATTTCGTTCGCACCTGCAGCGATCGTGATGCCACCGAAGGAAAAATGACTAGGTACGTCCTTCATACCTATTCTTGAAGCTTTTTTACTTCCAATAAAATACTAGTCATCTTCCAAATATTTGACGATCTTTCAAAATATATCTGTCATACGTAAAATTATACTTTGGCCGAATTATCTATTTTTATCGTTTTATCAATTTTTCATCTGTCATTATTCGTCCTTTATTTTATCGGAGTTAATTCGTTGATGGTAAATGTACAGTATGGTATTGCATTAAATTTCGCTGTGCTGTTGCACGTTGTTCAATTTTTATGCTGAGATTTCTCCGTTATTTCTACATCTACGTGAATGATTCTCGAAATAGCAACAAAATTAAGAATGACACGAACGTGATTCTCAGGTTTGATTGTCGCGTAACCGGCCGCCCGTATCCTGAAGTGACGTGGTACATAAACGGCCAACAAGTGGCCAACGACCTGACCCACAAGATCCTCGTGAACGAGTCTGGTAACAACTCGCTGATGATCACGAACGTGAGCCGCGCGGACGCCGGCGTCGTGACCTGCGTCGCTAGAAACAAGGCAGGCGAAACCTCGTTTCAGTGTAATTTGAACGTGATCGAGAAGGAGCAAGTAGTCGCGCCGAAATTCGTGGAACGATTCACCACGACGAACGTGAAAGAGGGAGAACCGGTTGTTTTCATGGCTCGCGCTGTTGGCACTCCTGTACCTCGTATCACCTGGCAGAAGGTGGGTTAATTAGAGTATACATGTTGAGTATGAAATTTCTTATCTCAGGTTACTTCAGTTTTTACGTACTCATTCGCAATTTTAAGGAATGGTACATTTTGTATTAGATTAGAGTTACGAATAAGTAAATAAATCTGAGGGTTGGAAGCCGTGGTGTGCGGAACTCTGAACATGTCAAGATCATGAAAATTTCTAAAAATATCTAGGATGAAAATAAATATTCGAAATTCCAAAAATTTCCTAAAATATCCTGGTGGACATTTTCAAGATTCTGCTCTACACGACAGTTTCACAGATATTCCCGAATCTTTTGCATAGTTTCATTCATATTTGTTATTATAGGATGGAGTACCGATAACACCTGGACCGGATGTGCGTATATTGACAGATGGTAGCGGAGCATCAACTTTAGATATACCCTGCGCAAAATTGTCGGATGCAGCTTGGTACCAGTGCACGGCGCAGAATGTAGCCGGCTCTACTGCTACCAGAGCTCGGCTCTTCGTGGAAACACCGAAAGGAGCAGCCCCAGAACCAAGACGCCTGAACTTACCCCGACCGACGAAAGTCATCGAACCAGAGTACGTTAATCGTTTGCCTAATTTTCATTTCCCTGGAACTAATTGTAATTTAAATGTAATTCTTTAATTAAAAATAATCTTCGTGATAGATACCAGGTTCTGGGATTTAATATTAAATTTATATTCAATTTTATTAAATTCAGTACTAATATTACAATATTATTTTTATTCATGCACACTCGACGAAGAAAAATGGTAGGGTTTTCCATTAAATTCCATGATTGGAATTAATAAAGGACGAAGCTAACGATAAAATTGTTTATAGACCAGCGCCTGGCCCCGAAGTGATTTATTTGAGACACGTGGAACGCGCCAAACCGTATTTGCCTCCACCTGAGGAAGATAGAGTTTATCCACCACCACGTTTCATCATACCATTGAAGGACGTCCATCAGATCGAGGGTGGACGAATTCACTTCGAGGCCAGAATCGAACCGGTGGGCGATCCCACTATGAGGGTAGAGTGGTATGTCAATGGAAGAGCTCTCGATGCGAGTGAGTACCTCCCCAGAATGTTAAACGATTGAATTTCCAAACTTTTTAATTTCCTAATTTTCGACTATTAATTGTCTTCGTTTGGCATCGAATTTTAAATTGAAACTAAAATTTCAGGTTCCCGGGCGACTTCTATCTTCCGATTCGGCTTCATCTCTCTCGACTTGATCAGCATCGTTCTTCAAGATAGTGGCGAATATTTATGCCGCGTTGTAAGTTCGACTGGAGTCGCCGAATCTCGAGCTACCCTCAGCGTGACACGTGAGTTTTCCTATTCAAATCTATCTTACCACCTCATCCTTTCTGATTATGCATCTATTTTATATTCTCAAAAAGTCATCTCAAAGTTAACACGCGAGAAATTCAACTTGCAGCACGCGCAACAATCGAACAAGCCAGCCAACACCCCGACAGTCTCCAGTACATTCAACAGCTCGAGGATTACAGCAAGTATCAAAGGCAGGAGAGTGTGGAGGAGATCTCTCCTCAGCGGCCGGCCTTCATCCGACCACTCCAGGATCTAGGAGAGCTACAGGAAGGTCGTAACGCCCATTTTGAGGCGCAACTGACCCCTGTAAGCGATCCCACGATGAAAGTGGAGTGGTACAAGGATGGTAGGCCGATCACAGCCAGTAAGTACTTCGTTCAGAAATTTTTCTCATACGAAAATTCGCTCGCTAGTGGACTCAAAGGCAGTACAGATTCAGGTCGTAGAGTTTACAAAATCTTAGCACTCGAAATTTTACCATTTATGGGTATATTCACATTGAGTTTCAGTGATCAGCTGTTGAGCTTGAGTACACTAGAGAGCTAATTGGATAAGTAAAGGGAAAATAGGGCTGGGACTTTTCGATATTAACGATATGGAAAAATTCTAACGCACGATGATTATTCCAGGCTCAAGAATCACAACCATCTTCAACTTCGGGTACGTCTCGCTCAATATATTGCACCTACGAGCTGAAGATGCAGGTTCTTATACCGTGAGAGCTGTGAACCGCTTGGGAGAGGCCGTCAGCTCCGCATCTCTCCGTGTTTTTGGTAAATATATGCGAATAAAATTATTTCTTTACTGTTAGCTAGGATTTCAATGGAAATTAATTGTATTACGCATAATGTTGAATTATTGTAGCACGCACAAGCGTTACTTCAGACCTGGGAATCCCCGAGCAACAGAGGTACATCGAGGCTGCCGAGGAATTGGAAGCTTATCAACAGGCCATGCACCAGAAATACGTACAGGAGCAGCCTGAACCGACTAGCCCACCGGAATTCAAATCCCCTATCAAGGATCAGAACAGCATTCGAGAAGGAGGATTTGCTCATTTCGAAGCACGTCTAGAACCAGTCGGCGATTCTGACTTGAGAGTCGAATGGCTCAAGGATGGACGCCCTGTAGAAGCAAGTGAGTACATGATTTTCTTCTATCCACCTTTTTATTCCAAAAACGCCATTTAATTCTCTAATCCTAAAATTTCAAGTCTATAAAATTCTAAGATCCCAGAATTCCAGATCACCCGAATAGTGAACTTCTATAATCCCAGAGTCAAAGTGTATCGATAGTTTATCAACACAGTTGACATCAACGCAATCTTCTTTGTTCAGGTTCACGAATCACAACATTCTTCAACTTCGGTTACGTGGCACTAACCATCAAATACGTAACCATTCACGACGTCGGTGTATACACCTGTCGCGCTTACAACCGCGTTGGCGAAGCTCACACGACAGCTCAGTTGAGCGTGATCAGCAAGAACGACGTTATCTATGACAGTCAACATCCCACTGGACTTCAGAAGATCCAGACTTTGGAAGATTCCAGTAGATACTCGCGACAGGTCCAGGAAGAAACGCAAGTAACTCAAGCACCGCGATTCCTAGGCAACCTGAAAGGTACCAACAAGATCGTGGAAGGTCAACGAGCTCACTTCGAGGCTCGTGTCGAGCCTCAGAGCGATTTAACCATGACCATCGAGTGGTACCACAATGGAAAACCTATCACTGCTGCGAACAGAATCCAGACCTATCACGACTTTGGATACGTGTCTATAGACATTCTTCAGGTCAGACCAGAGGACGCTGGTACTTACACCGTCGTCGCTAGAAACGCTCTTGGAGAGGCTCGACTGTCTGCCACCATGATCGTTGAAAGTGAGTCCTTGAAATTTTCTGTGATCAGAAGTGACATTTACGAGATTAATTTTAGTATTCGCTCACGATTCTAATATTTCATCGTACTCGAAAAATATTTATGTTTTCATTCACGATAAAAATAAATTTTGACTTATGTTTGGATTTCTGTATTCTTGGATAAAGAAATTGCTCACTCTTCTAGAAAATTGTAAGAATGAAATAGGAGTAGACGATAGTAAATCAAAAAGAGTAATATAAATTTTTCCTGTAACAATGACTTCATAAATTTTATCAACAAATAATTGGAACTTGTAAAGTTGAACAGTAAAAAAATGGTAATTTCTATTTTAATTACAGCACGTTCAAGCGTAGATACCAGCAGTATGCACCGCACTTCCTACGAGAAGACACAGCGTCTCGAGGAATCGAAATTCGTCGAGCCTCAGTATCACATCGAAGAAATTTCAAAATCGAAGCCCATTTTCGTCCAACCACTGAGTGATCCTAAACCAGTGAGCGAAGGCAAGAACATCCATTTGGAATGCCGTTTGGAACCCATGGGCGACCCAACGATGAGAGTCGAATGGTTCCAAAATGGTCGACCAGTTACCGTTGGCTCCAGATTTAGAACTTATTATGACTTCGGCTTTGTCGCTTTGGACATCGTTCATTCGACTGTCCTCGACTCTGGAGAATACACTGTTAGAGCTACCAATCATCTTGGCACTGCTCATACCTCAGCCTGCGTCAGAGTAATCGGAAAATCCGACATAGTTACGGAAACTCAGCACGAACAATCACTAGAGCAGATTCAAATGCTCGAAGATTCGGCAAGGTAAAGTAATTAGTAATTAGATGAAATGTTTATAAATAGACGATTTTGGCAAAATAAATGTCAATTTTTATAAACTTAGTTACCTTCTACACAAAATATGAATTATAAAAATTCTCGATTATTACGGTAACATTCGCATAATAATGTATGTTTGTAGGTCCCGGAAAACCCAACAGGAGGATGTAACAGTAATGCAGGCGCCACAATTTACTCGGCCCTTGCATAATATCGAAACAGTAGAACTGACCAACGTTCATCTTGAGTGTCGTCTTCAGCCAGTTGGCGATTCGTCCATGAAAGTGGATTGGTTCGTCAATGGAAGACCAGTAAAAACTGGTCACAGGTTCAGACCATCGTACGAATTTGACTACGTCGCTCTTGACATCCTCGGTGTTTATCCCGAGGACTCTGGCGTGTACACCTGCCAAGCAAGAAATCAGCTGGGCGAAGCAGTCACTTCCTGTTCTGTCCGAGTGCACGCGAAGAAAGACCTGCTCCTGGAGTCTCAACATCCAGAAGGTTTGGAACGAATACAATACTTAGAGGATGCTTCCAGATACAAGAGACAAGAACTCGTGGATGAAGTGGTCAATGTCAAACCGAGATTTATTACGGCTCCAAAGAACCAGGAGAATCTTCGAGAAGGACAACACGCCCACTTCGAATGCAAATTGGAACCTGTGACAGACTCAAATTTGAAGGTTGAGTGGTTTAAGAATGGTCGTCCGGTTACAATAGGTAAATTACAAAATTACAAAATCTTAATTGTTAACTAAAATAAAATTATTCGATACACGAGTTTTCAATTATAATTATTTAAAATATAACACGAAGCCAAAATTTTCCATTTATCGATAACAAAGAAATGAAAACTGGAAAATTTGAAATGTAATTATTTAAAATTTAGTTTTTCGTACATTCTATTAGCAGAGGTGCAATAAAATCGAAGTGCAAAATTTCTAAAGTTGAAGATAGATCGAAACAAAATCGAATATATCTCAATTTTAGGTAATTGAAAATGCGCCGTCAATTATATACAAATATTTTCAATTTAAAGGACACCGATTCCGTCCGATACACGATTTTGGCTACGTTGCTCTGGACGTGATCGACCTAATCGCCGAGGACTCAGGTACTTACACCTGTCGCGCTGTCAACCTCGTTGGCAGTGACGAAGTATCCTGCACTCTATCCTGTCGATCGACTGCCCAAGTTTTAACGGACACTCAGAACGAGCTCGGCCTCGAACAAATTCATTATCTCGAGGACAGATCTAAATACCAACGAAGAGAAGATATCGAAGAAACGACCACCCAGGCCCCGATCTTCACTACTTCCCTGAACAACGTGGAGATCAAAGAAGGTCAAAGAGCTCACTTCGAGTGCAGATTGATACCCGTGTCCGATGCAACGATGAAGGTCGAATGGTTCCATAATAACAAGCCTGTGAAAGCTGGCTCGAGGTTCGTCGAGACCAACAGCTTTGGTTTCGTGGCATTGGATATCATGTACGCCTATCCAGAAGACTCTGGTACTTACACCTGCCGAGCAAAGAACATCATTGGAGAGGCGATCACTTCGGCAACTGCGACTGTGCACTGTAAGCTTCTCCGATTGTTTAATTATCTTATACAATTTCGAAATATCATGTTTGAATTGAGAAAAATTACTTTATGCTACCTGTTTCTGAATTAAATAATATTCGGTTAAAGTGATCCTAAAGGTTGTAGACTAAACGCAAAAGGTTCTGACGGGAATTGAGTAATAAAAAAAGTGCAGGAAATAATTAACAAATGGTTAATTTTATTATTTCAAGTAAATTAGTAGAAACCCGAAATTTTATAAAAAAATATTTCGTAAATAAAGTTTTATGATATAGAAGTTCGTATTAACATATATTTCTGAATATTCTCTTTTTTCTCAAACAGCAAAGAAATCGATTTACACGGAAACTCAGAACGAAGAGACCCTCCAACGCATTCATTACCTGGAGGACACCTCGCGATACCAACGCAAGACCACCACAGAGGAAATCATCACCCAAGCCCCAGTCTTCACTATGCCTATCAAGGACTTAAAAGTCGCCGAAAATCAAGCGGCTCATTTCGAGGCTCGCGTGATTCCTGTTGGCGATTCCAAATTAAAGGTTGAATGGCTACGAAATGGAGTGCCAATCGCAGCTTGTAAGTTACATCCAAGGATATTAATCTCAAAATCAAGATATTCTTATAAATCTCAATCTCAAAGGATTTCGAATTTTTTAATTTACAAATAACCATTTTGAACTAATTCGGTACCGTATTCTGTAATTACGTTTTAATTTCGTTGATATCTATTTCTATTTAATTAGTTATAAATATGTATTAAATTCGTGTTCAAAAATTTTTTAAATCGCATAAATTGTTTTTTTACGAATAGCCAATCGCGTGACAACAATGCACGATTTCGGATACGTCGCTCTGAACATGAAGTACGTCAATCCTGAAGACTCAGGTACCTACACTTGCCGTGCAGTAAATGATCTTGGAGAGGCTGTAACCTCAGCGACACTCTTCGTTCAATGTAAGTACAAATTATGCACAAGACAGAGGATATCTTGAAAACGAGGCTTCAATTTCCAACATCGCTTCTCGTAAGCTATGAGCTAGCTTCCGGAACGCGTAGAAACTGCTTATACGTAGATCATTTTTGTATTTTGTGTGCAGCAATTTTTTCCCCTTTTTTCTTTTTCTTTTTTTGGTGAAGTGTTAGTTGAAATTTTTTTGACGCTTCGATGGATTTTTCTATTCTTCAAGGCATTCGTAACGAAGTGTAGAAGAAGATTTTTTTATTCTTGGCTGCAGCAGAAATCTTTGTAGCAATTTTTTGACATACATCGCTGCCATAATCAATTTTCTTTCAACATTTCGTGTCATTCATATACAACCTTCCTTCAAATCATCTATTTTTTCATTAGTTACCTCATCGCAAATTAATTCTGATGAATCACGATTAATTTTTTTGTTATATCGGTAAAATCGTAACGTTCTAATCTCTCGAATCTCAGAATTATTTCTTTTACTCAACATATTAAATAAGAACACAGTTGACTTTCCAACAAAAAATTACATCCAGAATCAAAAAGAGACTTTTCCAACGCCGCGAACTCGGGTTCAATAGCGAACGGATTAATCCACTCATTAAAATCAAACATTTTCCTACATCTCACCAAAGACCACCAATTCCAATTTTCACAAAAAATTCGTGTAAAATAAAAGCAAAAATAATAATCTCATATTCACCTGCATAAAACATCTCATTATTTTCATTCACGACACCTATACAACGACACACTGACAAACCTGTTCCCGAACACAGCCAAGGCGGCCCTGCAATTCGAGTCGCAGCACGAGAGCGCGTTGTCGAAGATCCAGGCGCTGGAGGACACCAGCAGATACCAACGACGCGAAGAAGAAGAAATCGTGGTAAAGGAGAAACCATCATTCACGGTCCAACTGAACGGACCTACCAGCCTAGTCGAGGGTCAAAGCGCACACTATGAGTGCCGTATCGAGCCCTATCCCGACCCGACCATGAAGGTGGAGTGGTTCCATAATGGCAAACCACTGTCCACCGGTCACAGGTACAGAACCACTTGTGACTTTGGATTCGCCTCGTTGGACGTGCTCACTGTGTACGCGGAGGACTCTGGTACCTATACCTGCCAGGCCACCAATAGACTGGGATCGGCGAAGAGTTCGATCAATCTTGACGTGAAATGTAAGTAATTGAGGGTGGAATCGAGACAGGGATCCCTCTCGAGGATTTTCCACGCTGTGTAAGTCGAGAGAGACGGGGTAGAAGTGTCGTTGTGATTGCAGGGGTGACAAATATACGGGCGATTTTCTCCAATTAATTCTTCGTGTTGAGATAGAAGACACATAGTCTGAGCAAAAAGTTTTATTCTATGTGTATCATCGGTGGCATATGTGATATAGAAAGTGACAGTATCGTACTTTAAATTTTGATTGCGAATAATTTTAATTTAATCAACACGAATTATTGGCCCGTAATGAGTAACTAAATAAATCACACACGTATGGCAATAATTGTAGTAACAGCAAATGATAACAGCAAATAACTGTATATAGTTAAATTGTTATCTGAATTAATTTTCAATTTAAAAAAATTTTTTTAAGCCCGAAAGCATCGAAGACTCGTAAAAGTAATAATCGTCAGTTCACCTCTCAGGATCGATACTTCTACGATCGTTCATGAATAAATCACGCACGGGGACAGCAGGTGGATGTAACCAGGCACTTTGTGTTACCTAGAAATCCTGTTCTTCCAAAGCTTCTAGTTTTCCGTGGCTTTGAAATGTAGTTCCGCTTTTGTAAATTGTTCACACACACACACACACAATGTGAATGGCCACCCTTTTCCTCTTTGGGTGTTTCGTCGTTGTTTTTTTTCCCATTGTTTTTTACACTTTTTACTCGTTCTTTGTTACATTCTTTTACTTGCACTTTTCTCATTCCTTCGAAACACGAGGAACGAATAATCCGTGCGATTATTCTTCGCCCTTCTGTCCTCTAAGCGCAATGCATTTAACGAGAAAGAACAAATAATTGAATAAACACCGCATTGCAGCTCGTGCCTCGATTATTCGCGAAACGCAACACGAAAGTGCCCTGAAGAAAATACAGTACCTAGAAGACGACTCGCGTTACAAACGCGTGGACCAGGAAGACTTGATCATCGCCGAGAAACCGAAATTCGGACGCCCATTGAAGAACATAGAACACCTGCCAGAAGGCAAGAGCGCTCACCTCGAGGCGACTTTGACACCTGTCAACGATCCCACTATGGTGGTAGAATGGTACAGAGATGGTAGACCAATCCCTCAGGGTCACAAGTTCAAGACTACCTACGACTTTGGCTACGTCGCTCTCGATATTCTTTATGCCTATCCCGAAGACTCTGGAACCTACATGTGCAAGGCTAGAAATGCTGTTGGCGAGGCTGTTACTACTTGTGTCATCAGCGTTGACTGTAAGTATTTAACGAGGTTTTAAATTATAAATTCAGAAATTATTCTGCCGATTTTAGGATTTAATCCCAACAAAATTAGCCTGTCACTAAAATTTAATAAAAAAACAGCTTCTCGAAAGTTGAACAATTTTTAAAGTACAAAATATTGGGAAATAACTGCAATTTGAAAGATTTAAATAAGCCAAGAGGTGGTATTTTTTTGCTATTATTTACGATTAAATATGTTCTGAAAACTTTGTTACATATATAATATAATAAATAATATCTCGAGATTTAAAAAATTTCTGAAATTGAAAGATAGTTATTTATACTTTATGTATTTTCCTTTTATTATTATTGATTGGAATTATAGGAATTTCGAGACATCTGACAGTCTGAAATATTCACAACGAACGTTAAAACCTTTTGACTGAAATCCAAATTTTCAAGTTGCTGAGTGATTACTCGGAAGTCTAAATTAAATGTCTTCTGTAGAAAGGATCAGGGCTGAAAAATTGTTTGTTCTGTTAAACAGCGAAACAAGGCCTATATTTGGACACATTAGACGCTCAGCGTTTGCAGAAAATTCGCGAGCTAGAAACAGTGGAAGTGAAACAAGAGGTTGAAAAAGAGGTTATACACCAGAAGCCCGTATTCTTGACGCCTTTGAACAACCTGGATCACCTAAAAGAAGGTGAACATGCTCACTTGGAATGCCGCGTCGAACCTATCAACGATCCAAATCTAAAGATAGAATGGTACTTGATTGATATAAATTGTATTTCGTTAAATTGAACTGTCATTCAAACTGACTTTAAACTGGGCGAATGTAACGTTAAATCAGGTTCGTGAATGGAGTTGCTGTAAGAACAGGCCATCGCTTCCGCAAAACACACGATTTCGGTTATGTGGCTCTTGACATTCTTTATACCTACCCTGAAGATGCTGGTACTTACATGTGCAAGGCTACCAACTTGGCTGGCGAGGCTGTCAACACGTGTACCATCAAAGTTGGCTGTAAGTAATTTCAATTATAATTTAAACTTATATAATAAGGAACATATTATTACAATGATAATATATATAATATAATTATAACATATTACACTAAAAAGACGGTTTTGATACAACACCGAGCAAATCACTTTACAAATAACGAACAAAAGCAAAATAAATTTCCATAATCTTATATCATAGAATAATAAAAAAATAGATGTTAAATATAGTGTTCAACAAATTTTAACTTTTTTTTAAATTTGTAATATCCATTAGAAGAATCTTGTAGAGTTGACTTTTCTAAACAATCATTGATCAATTGAATCTGAACGATTCAAACGATTTAAATGATCATTGATTTTAACCATTGATATTAATATTTATACAGATTAGAAAAAGAACATACCTTTCAATCTCACAGTATACTCAATATCTAGCTGTTGTAACAGGCCATCACCTAAATTAATGTTATGCCCTTTTCTCTGCCTGGATCTGCACGAATTCACAGCCACTAACACTTTCGGGACTATTTTTCGAACACGAACGCTCGAAGCTGAGAAAAAGTAATCAATCCCGTTAAAGAAAAATTCACTCTACGCGGATATATAGAACAAACCTCATCAAAAAGCCTACTTTTCGAAATAGAAGCCAAAAAAGTCTATTACGCAGCACGATTTCAGAGCCACTCACACTTTCCCCACTATTTTTCAAGAACGCACGCTCGAAGCCGAAAAAAAATAATTAATCCCGTTACAGAAAGACTCACACTACGCGGATATATAGAACAAACCTAATCAAAAAGCCTACTTTTCTAAATAGAAGAAAAAAAAGTCTATTGCGCAGTACCATCTGCCAGCCACTGACACTTTCGGCACTATTATTCGAAAACGAACGCCCGAAACCGAAAAAAAGTAATCAATCCCGTTAAAGAAAAATTCACTCTATACGGATATATAGGACAAACCTAATCAAAAAGCCTAATTTCGGAAATAGAAGAGAAAAAAGTCTATTGCGCAGTACGATCTGCCAGCCACTGACACTTTCGGCACTATTATTCGAAAACGAACGCCCGAAACCGAAAAAAAGTAATCAATCCCGTTAAAGAAAAATTCACTCTA